ACAAGCGCGAGGCAGGACCTCCAGCGGCTGGTCGGGCCGTTACGCAACACTGGATAGGGAGAGGGCGCACGGGTGTCCTGCCATGCTGGGCCGCTGCTTGGCCAGAAGGGCCTCTCGCATGGAGGCGCGAGCACGCGGCCGGGAGGTGCAGACGTGAGGGCAGGACAGCCGGCTTCACGCGAGGGGCGCAGCACTGGCAGCCTGGTGATCACACTGCGCTGCGGAGTGGCACTTCGCACTTCTTCCAGGTGGTAGCACCACATACGCCACTCGTAGAGGCAATTGCACCGAACTGCCTATCTGCTTGATATTCAAAGCAGTGGTGGGAGTGGCTCCGCAGGCCATCGAGGCTGACCGAACACACATCGCCATGCACACACGCACGCACGCACGCACGCACACATACACACACACTAACACACACACACACACACTAAGAGCACACAGGTGAAGAAGTCCGTCGGACTCGGAGGCGAAGGAAACTCGGCACGGGAGAGTGAGTTCACGGGAAGAAGGAGAACCTTGTAGAGCCTGTAGAGTTCACAACCGCGGAGATCCTGACCAGCGCGATTCTGCATACGCCGAAAGTTGCAATCCACCTGGTTCCACGTTCATCTGTTTACGTGGCCGCGGGGCCCTGCCACACTCCTGTTACAGACCTCACCCTGCCCGAAATCTGAGAGGAGGCCCAGCTCAGGGCCAACAACTGGAGCTCTGCAGTCAGCTGCTGCTCGATGTCGGTTGCGAGGGAGGTCCCAAAGGGGGCGCTTTTCAGCTCTCGCAGGCGCGTCATAACTGCGGTCGGCCTGGACAGTCCCGGAGCAGTCGGAAGTGACAGGCGCATCGCAGGCCAGAGCGCACCAGCATCTTCGCGCAAGCCCGCCTCGGCGCCGCCCCGACTACATGCCCGCCCGCTGTTCGGGTGGCGGCACCAGGTCGAATCAGCGGCTGCGCGCCGCTCGCAGAGCTGGATTCGTCGTCGCCGGAGGTCTGGTCCCCAGCGTCGTCGCTGGTGCTGCTGTCGGCGGAGGCCGAATTGTCTTTGGATGGCTGGGCCCGGACCCCGGTCGCCTGGCGGGCGGCCTTCCTGGGCGCAGGCTCGGCGGCCTCTAGTGCCACCGCAACGTCCACGCACCGGACGCAGGGGTCCTTGCTGTAGCCCTCGCCCTTGTCGTCGCACACGTGCCAGTAGCAATCGGGCCCAGCCTGTGGGGGGGAGGCGACGCCGGCCACCTTCAAGTACGCGAAGCCGCTCTTCCCGCTGGGAATGCTGCTGTCGATCTTCCAGCGGGATTTCTCACGCCAGTAATACAAAAACCTGGGCCTGACGGCGGCGTCGGCGCCCACCTTCTCGTACGCGCCGTGGCCGTCGTGGTCTGCAGCCCGGCGGGCGTACAGCCCGTTAATGGAGGCGTTCTTCTTCTCCGAGGACCGGCCCTCGACGAGCAGGGAGCCTTCCAAGCGCCCCTGCGCCTTCAGCTCCCTCTTTGCGGCCTCCAAAGCGCCCGCCTCGCTCCCCGCGGCGCCCGCCCGCGCTGCTTTCCTGGGCGGCGGATCGACGGCGGCCGCGCCCGCCTTTCGCGTGGCGATGGCGTCGTACAAGCTTTGCCTGTAAGCGGTCACTTCTTCCTTGTTGGCGCCCTCCGCGAACCTGACCCAACAGAGGCGGGCGACGCGGAGCGCCTCCTCCACGCTGCCCCCGCAGGCCTTGACCGTCGTAGTATCCGCCACCGTGCCGGAAGCACTGAGTGGAGCGCGCACAGGCCCGTTGGAGTCCCCTGTGCTCTTATATGGTTGAACATACACTACGCGCCCACTATAAGACATCCTGCCAGGCGCATCCTCTAAGGGCGCATCCTCTAAGGGCGCATCCTGAGGGCCGACTCTGTAAAGAATGGCGCACCCGTTAGCACGCCAATTGGTGCGCCCACTGCGTAAAAAACGGGTCGCGGATTTCTGGGATGCGCGGCGCCTCTGTGCGCTTCCAAAGCTTGGGCCGCGACGCCTTCCGAGGCACGCGGCGTTTCGTTCGGGATCCTAATATGATGAAGAAAATTGTCAGTGAAGAGACCAGGGCCAGCTTCCCGGACGTTTCTTAAGACAAACCTGGGCCAAGTGTTCGCGTTGATGCTGGAGGGGCGAACGCGCTCAAAAAACTGGGCCAGCTTTCCTGCGAGCTGGTCAAGAAACGCTGGTCCAGCTTTTCGGGGGGAAGTTTCTTAATCAGATGCTAGACTGGAATTTCCAACGCCAAAAGATCGTGGCGCAGCCGTCTCGTGGGCCTCGGAAGCCGTCGTTTGGGCCGTCGGGGCCAACACGACAAGTGGAAATCATTGACACCTCGGGTTGTCACTTGTCTTTCGCATACTCGCCTTCCACGGTCCTCGGAGCGCCCAGGACGGCCCAAGAGACCCAAACATTGCCCCCAAACCAAAAAACCCTGAACGTCCCAAGAGGGACGGGGGAACTCGAAGGTACTCCACCTTCCCCGCTCCAAGAGGCCCCCCAGGCTGGCCCCAGAAGGCCCCCAAACCTCTTCGTCGTCCTCCTCGGAGCAAAGCGGAACAAAGTCTAGCCACCACGCGTGCACAACGCATGCGCAACAGGTGGGAAAACCGCATGCGAAACAACGACGACAAAGAAGGACCCTTCTGGCTGACCTCGAAGGCCGCGGCCTCGGACAGCGCCTTCCGGGCGCGCGCGGTCGCGATGAGGTCGGGCGCGGGCCGAGGCGGGCGCTAACTCGCCCGCTGCGTCCTCCTCCACCGCGGTCCTGGTCCCATCTAAGGCCTCTTATCCAGCTCTAGCCCCCTCGGGGCACAAGCGGGCCCGGCATCGACTTGGGGGCGCCCCCGAAGTAATTGACTGGAGGGGGGACTTAGGGAGCAACCGCCACCGACCTGCTATTCACCTCCATCCCAAAGGAAAGGGGCGAGGGAGAGGGGGAGAGCAGGATAGCGCGGTACCTTCATTCAGGCTCCCTCCCCCTTGCCCGTCCGGCCTGACTTAACATGAGCTCGAGGTGGTGGCATCGAGCAAGCAGGAAGAATATGGGGATGAGAAGGAGATAACCTGCTTGGCCTCCTCACGCTGCAACTCCCCCGGCCCAGGCACGGGTGCGGGATGGGCCGAAGGCTATTAGAGCCGCCGCCCCCTATGACAGGGCGTCCCCCCGCGCCCCTTGGATGACGGGGCTAAACCCACCGCCGCCTGGCGGTGCCCATCAGACCTCTGCACCCCTTGCACATTGCCCAACGCACCCTGGCATCCGATTGCAAAACACTCGAAAACGCAAAATGCCCACACTCAGATACACCAGGCGCCACCTCATGATGGGCACCGCGGCCCTCGATGGCATCCGAAACTCCACCAGATGGCACGGATGCGCTTCCGATGCGGGAAGGAGGGCCCCGAAATGGCGTTAATACGGTGGAGGAACCACTCGAATACACACAATGTGCTGCAACGCTGTATGTTTGTTTACGCTCCCGCCGTTCCACCGTCCATGTGTGTCCCAGGCCACAATATGGCCGACATGTTGCCCAAGATGCCCGAAGAGGCACTGACAAAAACATCAAGTCCAAGAGCGCCCTTACGGCATGGCCCTTCGCCTTTCGGGCCCCCGCACCACAACCCCGGCCATCCACGCGGCAAAGTTCCCACGACTCGCGCGAGCCCCCAATCTAGGGCTACAAAACCCACAAAGATCGGGAACCTTCCCCAGACGGTGACCCGATGTGGCTCCAGACGATGCCGCCCAATGCCGCCAAGATGGCCGCCGATACTGTCCAACATGGCTTCCAATGGTCGGAAAAGGCCTCGCGACGGCCCTGCAACTGCGTCACGCGCCCCTTTGTCCCCGATGTGGTCCCCGAGTGTTTCCGGTCTCGGCTGGAGGCGCACATAAACATTCCCAAGAAGGCCTCCTGGACACCTCAGGGTGGTCTTCAGACGCGCTCGCGATCGCCAGTATGGCCACCGCTCTGATGTACATGAGAGCCTCCAGACAGCCGAAGAATGATCCCCTCTTGCCTCTTCAAATTGGCCGATCTAGTCCACCAGTGATTTTCGCACCAGCTGGGGGATCTCTCGACATTGGTCGACGTGCCAAATTCCTTGCGTGAGCGAGGAGCGAAAGTGCACAGCCGAGTGATGTAGGCACGACGCTTGACAAGAGGGCGATGCTCCCAAAAGGCCAGACAAGGCCAAGAGAAGAACCCCCGCACAGCCCCACGGCAGCCCGGGAACGCCCTCCTCCCTCCTCCCCAACTCATTCCCCGAAATTGTTCGGCAACGGCTGGCGGAATACTGACCCAAACTGCTGCCGCCCATCTCAACTCGTCGCTGGAGCGGCTGGAGCCCTGAGGCAGCCCCGCACCGACCCTGGAACGCTCTAGGAACCGATCTTTCTCCCAACCTTCGGCGGCACCTCGCTAATCGGCCCTCGCTGAACACGCGGGCGACCCAACAAGGCCCATAATGATCCGCATCGCAAGTCCCCCGAGACTGAACCCCCGAGACTGAACACGGATGATCTGCACTGCACAACGTGGGCAAAATTTCCAGAAACCTGCTACCACCGATCAGCTCCCAAATGTCTCACGCGGCGGCTGGAGGAACCCATGTCAGCTCTCCAACTACAAGCCTCGCGCCCCCCCAACAATGCCGAAATCCTCTGGGAAACCAATCTCACCTAGACGGCAACGTCGGGAACAACATGATAACATAATGCCAAGACGGAAAGCCGTGGAAAAAAAAACAATAAGCTCCAGGCCCGCCCTTCACTCTGAAACCAATGTCTTCCCCAGACGTCCCAGTAACGCTCCCGGGAATCAGAACTCAACCGCAGCCGAACGAACTTCGCAACGATTATCGGCCACACATGCCCCGTCACTCGCCAGGGTGTGGGTAATCACCCGACCTCCTGAATGATACTGTAAAGCGCATAGTGCGATAACGTACAAACCTACGGTGCTTCGAACGTTAGGAGGGGGCGTGTTCTGCCAAACTCACCGTGATCAATTTGCGTCCGGCCGCTCTTCGCTGCATGAATTCGTGGCGACGGTCGAAGATGTGTTCGACGCTGGCGGACAAGATCGCCCCTCTGGCTCCTGACGCAGGTCTGTATTGGATTTACCACAAAGCGCCTTCCAACTGCTCACTGGTGGGCGATGAAGTTCGCGCGGACAACGACAGTCCCCAGCTTGCACGTGGCACCCTCGCGAACTTCGGCGCTCTGCCGCCCGGCCTGCGGTATATAGGTGATACACCCGCTCCTGCTAGCGCTGCGAGGCTGCCGCTGCCAAAGGGTCCCGGGGATCTTGTGCTCGGCCTTAGTGGGGCGCTCTTCGGTGTGCCGTTTTCAACGTTTCTGCTTGCGGCCGGCCAGCACGGAAACAAAACAAAAAACCCAAACGGGGACAACCGACATTCGAGCGCGAGCGAAGCAAAAGAACAGAAGACGAAGTGCCCGAATGGGGAGGGGGGAACGCACCCTCGAAACAACTCAAACAGGATCGGCCGTGGGGTAGCAACAAACATATTGAGAACTCATCGGTAACTCGAGTGGACAAACAACCACGTCGCAACAAGGCGCAGGCCAAACCCGGCCCAAACAACAGACGGAACAAATCTGTCACGGAAAAACTAATCAAAAACGGAACTCGAAATTAAAAGAAAACGGCGGCTCGAGCATCAACAAAACGGAAGGACAACTCGACCATCACGAAAAGCATGTCGACTCTGCATGCGAAGCGAAAACACGGCCCAAAGGCTGTTCAGAACGAATGCCCGGCGCTCCTCCGCGAAGCCAGGCCGCTCCTGCCAAGGATGGCGCCCGCTGGGCAAGACTGACGGGCAGAAGCTGCAGGGCTGGCCGCTCGACCCACGGGGCGGGGGCGGCGGGGGCTCGCCGCCAGGCGCGGCCGGATACCGCTCCTCGCCCCCCGGCAGCCGCAGGGACCTCAGGTACAGGCGCACCCTCCCCCGCGACGGCTCGTGGTGGCACCTGCCCCACGCCTCGTGCCCCGCGGGCGCGTCCTCCTCCGGGGCCGCGGCCCCGGCTGGCGGGCCGCCGGCGCCGCCGGGCCCGGGGGCAGGACGCGATGCCTCGCCGGGGGGCAGGCCCGCGGGGGGCGCCGCGTCCGAGGCCGCGGCGCCCGCGCCCTCTGCAGCGGGGAGGCCGCTCGCCGTCCCTGTCCTCGGCCTCTTGTAGGGGGGGAGGCTGGCGGCCGCGCCGCCAAGGCCGCAGCCCGTCTTGATGCCCCGGATCCTGGCGTAGATCTGGTCCCGGAACTCCTTGACGCGCTCTTTGGGCTCGCCCTCCGAGAACTTGACGTAGCAGGCGCGGGTCACGCGCAGCAGGGCCTCCTCGGTGAGGCAGGCCGCGAGCGTCGCCTGGAAGTGGAACCTCTGCGGCCCGAACTTGAAGAAGCAGAGGGCCTGCGAGGTGTGCTGCCTGTCATGCTTGACCTTCTGCCACGCCTCGTGGCCAGATGGAGCATCCTCTGGCAGCACGGCCTCGAGCAACTCGGACAAATTTGGAGCGATCGGCGCATCCATGCCCGCGGCGGAAGCGAGGTGCGGGCCAGCAGCCGGGCTCCACCATGCCAGCTTGCACCTCTGGAATACTTGCCCAGGTACATAGTCGCTGGAGCCAGAGTCGATGCGTAAAGGGGGGAAGGGCGGATGGGGAGAAGGGGAAGAAGAAGGACGGAGCGGCACGGACGCAGCAAGGACAAACGAGATGATACGCGCGGGAAAAAAGAAGCAGGGAGCAGAGTATGACGGAGGAGGAGGAGGAGGAGGAGGAGGAGGAGGAGGGAGGAGGAAGAGGAGGGAGGAGGAGGAGGAGGAGGAGGAGGAGAAGGAGGAGGAGGAGGAGGAGGAGGAGGAGGAGGAGGAGGAGAAAAAGCAAAATAAGGAAGGGAATAAGAACGGAACGGGGCGATTGCGATCCAAAACGCTGGCTCCTGAGAGGCAACGCCGAACTACCTGCCTTAAACAAAAACGTGGAAGGATCCTCGCATCGCTACAATGGGAAATCGCCTGCAACTTTATTAGGGGCGGGGGAGAGACCTCTGACCCCAAAGCAGGACCGCCTGAAAAGGCAGAACCCCTTAACACATTACTTGGGCATCATCTTCCCAACTGCAGGTGTAATAGGGAGATGAGTCGGAAGTCCAGCCCAGCAGCGACACGAAAGGAGAACGACGAAAGGGGGAACGACTTGCGAGAAGAGAGGGGGGGGGCACGGAATCACGAAAAGAAGAGAGTAGGCAACGCACTCGTTTAAGCCCGCGGGCGCCAAGTGGTCCAAGACAGTCAGGCGCCCGTCAGCAAGCAGTGGGGTGTACTGGGAACGAGGTGAAGCACGAAGGCGAAAGCAGGCAACGCACACGCATCGGAAGAGAGGAAGGACCTGGGGGAGGAGAAGCAAGTTGGCAACGGATACGGCAGCTGACGAAGCCTGCGTGTGGAGGGAACGGGGCAGCAGTGCACTTGAAGCACGCGCATCAGCGGTGCATCAGCAGAGAACGAGGAAGACGCGATATCAACGCGAATGGCTCTGATCTCGGCAGCGATTCACAGGGCCTGAACGGGGCCAAGCCTGATCCATAATTGCTCACGATGCTGGGCCTCGAAAGAGATCGAACCAGCTCTACACTTCAGAATCATAATCAAGTCTCTGGAGCGCTGATGACGGGTGGGTGGCCGAGAGTGCCCTCTGAGGCTGCGCCGGGCCAGCTCAAGCATTCGCCTGGAGTTCCAAATGCCTATCAGAGCGGCTGGTGACGCAGCTGGCTGCCTCAGTCCTGAAGGTGCTGTTGAATAGCTTATGGGGCCAGCCCACACTTCTGAAGGAGGCGCTAGGCATCGGCATCGCGCTCCACGGCAACCTGGGGGCTTCCCACGTCTTGAGACTACCATGCAAGTAATGGCCGCGTGTACCATAAGGAGAGCGGTGCCGCCCACTCTGACGTCTTGCTCTGGGTTGGCTCATCAGGTGCTGAAGCCTGCACGTGTCCGCTGGTGTTTTGCCCGCGCGCACGCACGCGCGAATATGGCAACGCCTCGCGTGGTCCGCCAGCACTCGCAGCGTCTCTTGCCGTCCATGACTCCATGGCCCCAGTGTCGCTGGCGAACCGCTGCAGGGCGAGATGGCGAGGAGGTCTGGGAACAGATAGCAAGGGCGAGTGAATGGGGAGGACGATAGGGGGGGGGGGGGCGGGGAAAAATGCGCGCAAGGAGATGCCTTGGCCCTGGGGCCCTGGGGCGCGGAAGGCACTGGCATGCAGCGGCCGCGCGACGAGGGGGCCACGCTGCAGCAACGGGAGGGAGGGCATGAGGGCGACGAGGGTAGTAGGGCCAGCTGGGCCATCGGCGGCCCTTCCTGACAGGGGGGGAGGAGGAGGGCGACGAGGAGGAGGAGGACAAGGAGCAGAAAGAGAGGGAGGGGCATGAGGAGGAGGAGGCGGAGGAGGAGGAGGAGGAAGGGGAGGGGGAGGAGGAGGGGGAGGGGGGGGGGACAAGCTAGGTGCGCTCGCGTCATATCTGACATCCTACCCCCTTCCCTCCCATCCCTTACCATGGCGCAGATCCCCTCTCTACTCGCACAGTCGGATGTCGAGCAGGGCAATGATCCCGAAAGGGTACGCGATGCATTGTAGAGCACGGCCTGGCATGGCGTAGAAGAGCACCGCAAAGCGTAGTATCAACCTAACACTGCATTTCACTAGAACCACGCGCGCGCTTCGCGCGCGCTTAGGTTCTAGGGCGGCACAGGCAGAGCATTCGTTTGACAGAACCGGGGATGAGAGGAGTTGCGAAGATAATCCCACCAACTCCCTGTGCGTAGGTGGTTAAGCGCGTTTCCTCCGTCCACCCTTCCCTCTACCCCCTCGGGGAGGGTGCCTCTGCCCCTAACCATCTCCCCTGGACCTAAATGGGGTCCCCGCGAGCGGTCAGATCGTCGAAGACGGATCAAGACGGCTCCAAGGGGGCCTCAGAGAGCCCAAGATGAGCTCCGAGATTGCTCAAGATGGCTCAACATGGCTCACAAGATGCTCAAAGAGGCCCCAAGACCGCCCCAAGGTGACTCCAAGCGGCCACGGAGCTTCCCAGGGAGGCCCCCCAAGAGGCCCCGCAACGACGGGGCCCCATGGCCGCGACGCTGCAGTGTGATGCAAGGGCGCCCTTGAGCCCGAACAGCCATGACACGGACAAAGGTGGGTGCAGAATGCGCGCGGCATCCTTCTTGAATATCCCTTGGGCTGGTTGCGCATCCCCTTGCTTTTTGCTTTGCAAGAGGACTGTCCTCGGGTCCTCCTGGGGCTGTCTGGGCCGTCATGCGTGTCGCGTGGAGGCCTCGTTTGGGCCTCGTGGGGGCCTCTTGGGGCCTCTTGGAGGCCTTCGGGGGGCCTCTTGGGCCCCTCTTGGGGGCCTCTTGGGGCGTCCTGGGGGCTTCTTGGGTTCTCATGGGGGCATCTTCGGGCGGAGAGCTCGATTTTTCGGTTCGGGTTCCCTCTCTTGGGCCCCTCTTGGGGCCTTCTTGGGGCACTCATGGGCCGTCTTGGGCGGATCCGGGGCGGTCTCGGGGCTCTCTTGGGCCGTCTTGGGGCTCGCTTGGGGGCATCTTGGGCCGTCTTGGAGCAGTCCTGGGAGCCTCTCGGGCGGTCTTGGAGCCTCAGAAAGCGGAAACAGCGAGAAACCAAAAAACATAGAAAAAATGAAAAATCAAAGATTTCAGCCTCCCGGGGCCGTCTTGGGAGGCCTCTTGGAGGCCTCTGGGGATTCTTGGGGGCGTCTGGAAGCCATCGTGGGCGTCTTGGACCGATCTTTCGGCGACTCTGGGCCCTCTTGGCGAGACACTGAAATCTTGGGACGCGAAGTCGAAGCCAATCTGGCGCCAATCTGGCGGCCCCAATCTGGCAAAAGTTGGCAATCTGGCGGAGAGCCAGCGAGGTTACAGACTGGCGAGCAAGGAAAAACCTCCAACCTGGCCACGCCAGAGTGGCCCCTGGAAGCCAAGGCAATCTGTCAGTCTGGCCTTCGACTGTCCAGGAGAAGAGCGAGACACTGAAATCTTGGGACGCGAAGTCGAAGCCAATCTGGCGCCAATCTGGCGGCCCCATTCTGGCAAAAGTTGGCAATCTGGCGAGGGAGCCAGCGAGGTTACAGACTGGCGAGCAAGGAAAAACCTCCAACCTGGCCACGCCAGAGTGGCCCCTGGAACCCAAGGCAATCTGTCAGTCTGGCCTTCGACTGTCGAGGAGAAGGGCGAGACACTGGAAACGCAAAGTCGTCTCAAAATCGACCCCGGGACTCCGAACGCTCCAACGTTTCGGGCTGCGCCCGGCCGCTGCGACGAGGGGTCCTAGACCAAGGTGCCCCCAGGACTCCCCGGGAAGCTTCGGCGGCGTCCACAGCACCCCTCCTCCTCCTTCTCCTGCTCCTCCTCTTCCTCCTCCTCCCTCTCCTCCTCCTCCTCCTCCTCCTCCTCCTCCTCCTCCTCCTCCTCGTTTTCCTCCTCATCCTCGTCCTTTCCCGAGCGATACAATAACAACTTGCGTGGAACCCCTCTCGGGCCCATCTTGGGGCTCTCTTGGGCCGCCTTTGGAGCCTCTTGGGGCGTCCTGGGTCTCTCGTGGGGGTTTCTTGGAGCTCTCTTGGCGCCTCCTGGAGCCTCTTGGGGCCGAAAGCTCGAAATTCTACAGTGGCTTTCTCCCTCTGGGACCCCTCTCGGGCACGCCTTGGGGCTCTCTTAGGCCATTTTGGAGTCCAATTTTGCCGTCCTGGGCGCCTCGTGAACCGTCTTGGAACTCTCTTGGGGGCGACCTAGGCCGTCTTGGGAGCCTCTTCGGACGTGTTGGACGCGGTGAAAACCCAACAGGCGACCATGCGAAAAGTATACGTTTTCCCATCGGAATGGGACCATTTTTGCTTCTTGGACCTCTCTTGGGGTGCCTCTCGGAACGTCTTGGGCTGATTTTGGAAGCCTTTTGGCGCCTCTGGGCGGCGTTTTGGCGCCTCCTGGGATATGTTGGGCCGGAAGCTCGGGATTCGAGAGTGGCTTTCTCCTTCTGGGACCCCTCTCGAAGTCGTCTTGGGGTTCTCTTGGGCCGTCTTGGGGCCGTCCTGAGCCACTCGTGCGCAGCCTTGGAGCGCTCCCGGAGGCCTCCTAGGCCGTCTTGGAGGCCTCTTGGGCCGTCTTGGACGCGGTGAAAGCCCAAGATGCGAACATGCGAAAAATGTACGTTTTCCCATAGGAATGGCACGATTTTTGTTTCTTGGACCTCTCTTGGGGTGCCTCTCGGAACGTCTTGGGGTGCTTTTGGGAGCCTTTTGGCGCCTCTTGGCGGCATTTTGGCGCTTCCTGGAGCCTCTTGGGCCGGAAGCTCGGAATTCGAGGTTGGCTTTCTCCGTCTGGGACCCCTCTCGAACTCGTCTTGGGGCTCTCTTCGGCCGTCTTGGGGCCGTCCTGGGCCACTCGTGCGCAGCCTTGGAGCGCTCCCGGAGGCCTCGTAGACCGTCCTGGGCGCCTCTTGGGCCGTCTTGGACGCGGTGAAAGCCCAAGAGGCGAACATGCGAAAAATATACGTTTTCCCATAGGAATGGCACGATTTTTGCTTCTTGGGCCTCTCTGGGGCTGCCTCTCGGAG